CAATTTTGGCCAAGAACAACATCAATGTGGTGTTTCCAAGAAGACAGGCCTATGATGGCGCCAGTGCCATGTCCTCAGAACCATGTGGTGTGTAAGGAAGAAAAAGGAGAATAGCACTGATGGCACTGTACACTCATTGCAACAGTCATGTTTTGAATCTCAGTGTTACAGTGGCATGCAGGTTAACTTCAGTCAAAAACAAGATTGGAACCTTAAATGAAACTTTCCTTTTCTTTTATTTTTCACCTAAAGACAGCGATTTCTAGAACAAGCTTTAGAGAAGTGGGGTTCTACTTCCAGAAAGGAGAAGTTAAAAGGCTTGTGCAAAACCCAATGGGTGGAAAGGCATAAATGTTACGAGACTTTCTACGAACTTTATGAGTACATTTGCAAAAGCTTGGAAGCGATGGTTGATCATGAGTTGCGTCCTCATGTCTATTCCTCGTTATCGTTCACATGGGACAGGGACACTAAAACCAAGGCACAAGGTCTTCTGGCAAATTGGAAGACACTCGGATTCATTTTCACCTTTTGATCACAAAGAATAGCCTTGGAACACTCAAACCTATTGCAGCTAAGCTTCAGAAGAAAGACCAAGATGTCTTCCAAGTGTATTCTATGATTGATGACACTATTAAAGCAGTTGCGAGGGTGAGGTCAAACATAGAAGAGGAATGTCATGAATGGTTTGAAGACGCCTCTAGACTGGCTGACAAGATTGACGTTACAGTCTCAGTGCCAAGAATCACTGGGAGGCAGGAACATAGGAACAATGCAGCTAGCGTAAACCCGGAATCACATTATCGTGTTAATGTTGCCATACCTTTTATATTAGTTCAAGATTCAGCAAAGACAACAAGGCTGGCGCCGAAATTTTTTCCTTGGTTCCATCTGCTGTGGTGAAGCATGAAAGTCTTCATAATTATACAGAAAAGCTGCAATTTTGGCAACAGGACTTACCTACACCATCCTCTCTTCTTTCTGAGTTAAAGGAATGGCAATACTTTTGGAAACAG